TGCCGCTTCAGACCTCGGGGACATGCGCGTTGCCGAAGGCACGACGCAGAGCCAGCACCTCCCACTCAACCCCTCTCCTCTTCCTGTCCTCTTCCCTGGGGGGGGGGAGACCACAACCACTCCTTGTCCAAGGGGGGACCCAGGCCAAGGGCCCGGCGGCGCCGTGACCGAACAGAAGAGCTGGCGCTCCCCGTTCCGCTCGGGCTGGGCCTGGAGCCAGGGGTTGGGGAGACCAGAAGGTACGCATGCCGCTACGCCACGGACCTCTCCCAGGGCGCGTTCCACAACCACTCCTTGTCCAGTGGGGGGGGGCCCAGGCCAGGGGAGGAGCCGTGCCCCCCAAGGCACAGCAGGGGCGCCAAAGGGCGTGTCCAGGAGTCCCCTGAGCCGAGGGCCCGGCGGCGCCGTGACCGAGCAGAAGAGCTGGCGCTTCCCGCTCCGCCTGGACTGGGCCTGGGCTGGTCGAAGGGAGCCGAACTCCCTCTCCACTGACACCCTGAATGCCAGAAGGATAGTTAAGGGAGCCCAGTGCCCCAGAAACACCGTGCGCGGAGGCACTGAACAGCAGTTGCGTCCACCCAAAGCGGAGCTTCAGGGAGTAGCTCGAAAGTGGAGTTTCAAGGGGGGGCTCAGAGGCTGAGCAGAGCAGAGGAGCCTGGGGGAGGAACCTCGAGAGAAAGCGCTTCAAGGGGGCACCCCCGGGCCCAACGGAGGAAACATTGGAAAGGGGAGGGGAGGGGGCCAAAGGAGTAAGAGAAGAAGAAGGAGGAGGAGGAGGAGGAGGCACCCCTACGCCCGAAGGAGAGAAGAGGGGGGGGCGATGGGAGAGGCAGGGGTGCACACAACGCCCCAAGGCGGGGCCTGGAGCCACCAGTTAGAACTGGAACGCGCAGCCTGTCGACTTCCTGCATTACGGCCATAGCGCCAGTTGCGTACACGGCGTTTCGACCACACCTCGGACCGCGCAAAGGCGCCTGGCGCGAAAGCGATCGCTCTCGGCGAGGCGCAGCCGAGGGAAACGGCATCGGTGGCCTCCTCCTCCTCCTCCTCCTCCTCCTCCTCCAACCTCCAACCTCCAACCTCCGGACAGCGTGCCGAAGATGTGTCGCTCCGTTCCCAGAAATCCGATGTCTTTATGTTTGTCGATACGGTGTCCCCGCAAGTCCCGACCCTTTCCCCAGGACCGCTGCTTCATCCCGAATGGTTGATTGACGGTCCTGGGGCCTGGCCAGGGCCCCCCAGGGGCCGAAAACACACAAACATCTCTCTCGTCGTGATTTTGCTCGCGACGCGAGCATGTCTGGGTTGCCTGTCGTGTATGTCAGAAGGCCGCCGCGCTGTGCTGCAAGCACCTCCCCTCTTCGCCCCCCCACCGCCCGGTCCTGCTCGCGTACGGGCGCGAGGCGTCTTGCAAGCACTCTTCCTCCTCGAGCGAGGGGTCCAGGACCTCGGCGCCGAGCGGCCAGAGAGGCAATCCGAAGCCCTCACCGCACAACATCTCGCCCCGATCCCAGACGCGCTCGCATCGTGACAACAAATACGACGGGAAGTGTTTGGCCGCTCTTCGGCATGCGAAGGCTCTCGCCGTGCCCGGGGGCCATGAGAGAACGACCCCCGATGAGAAACCAGCCCCCGGGAAAAGGGTCGGGACTTGCGGAGACCCCGCAGGGAAAAAATCAAGGCATCGCATGTTTGGGTTCCCGCCCTCGGAGGGGAGTGCCGGGCCGGCGCGGGCAAGATGCGCCCTGGGCAAAGGCAAGGGGCAACGTTAGCGGAGGAACAGCTCCGAAGGGGGAGACATCGACCTGGAAGCGGCGATGCATCGCCGATAGATCGGCGAAAGGCCCCCGATGGCGAAACCGCACGGTCCCGGGCGGTGTGGGATATCGGGCCCCTATCGGCGATCAATGGGCGATTGGGGGTCGATGGGCGATGGCGGGTCGCACATCCTCCCCTCCACGACAGCACAGCCTGAGCGCTGCTCTCCTCTCCGCCCGCTCCCCCCCGCATAGAGCGGGCGCGCCGACATCTGATCGGATCTATCGTTGGGGTTGTTGCTTTACTGGGGGGCGGGCGCTGTCAAGAGCCGCTGCAAGAGGTGGCAAAATTCAAATGCCCACCTTGAGGGTGGTATCACGCATCTGCTTTCCTCGGTTGTCCGCGTCGTGTCCGCCGTAGCTTTGCTGGCGGATTTCGCGTGTTTGGCGGGAAATGGCAATGCTGTTCTAGAGAAAGAGAAAAAGGCATAAACAGAAACGTGAGGAAGAGAAAACGGCAGAACCAGAAACGTCTGGAAGTCCGCGGGGATTTCTTGGATCTGCGTTGGACCCACGTCCCTGGCGCGCCAGGGGCAGCGAAGGAGGCGCCGCCAAGGGGGCCCAGCGATGATCCGAGAAATCTGGCAAATCCGCGCGGAGTTCCGAAAGTTTTTGTATACACCGCGTGTCCTTCTTCGACACTTGGGCGACGAACAAAAAAAGCGGGTCTTACGCAAGACGGCACAGCGACCTGACGCAGCGACTTACGCGGGCCGTCAGCGCGGCACGCCGCAGCTCACGCGCGAATGTCGGCACACACTTTTTGTTCCGCGGGTCGAGAGCGCACCTCTTCCGGTCGAAGCTAAGCGGGCCGCGCGAAGCTTGAATTAGGCGGAGGGAGGGGAGGAGAAAGCGGCGGGGCCTCAGGACGAGGCCGAGGGGAGGCAAAGCCCCAGAGACAGGCGGTGCCGAAGCGAAATGTCGGCGCACACGACCCCGTTTTCTTTCGTCGCTCATGTGTGCCATCCGCGGCCCCGCTGGGGCCGCGGACGGGGGGGGAGCGGGGCCCTGACCCAGTCGCCAGAAGCAGCCGCCAAGAGCAGCCGCCGAAAGCAGCCGCCGAGGGCAGCCGCCCAGAGCCCCGTTTCTGTTGCGCCCCTCCCCTGTGATGGGCCATTCTTCCATCACCACCACCATGAGCTGGCGGGGGGAAGGAGGTGGAGGAAGAGGAGGATGCGATGCGATGCGATGCGATGCGACCACCGTTGCGGACAGCGTCAGAGCCTAGAGCGGACCAGGTGGGTGAGGCCATGGCCTCTTATTAGGATCTGAGGTGTCTGGATTCATGCAATGCGAGACATGTGAAAAGTTAGGAGGAGAGGGGGAGGAGGAGAGGGAGAGGGTGAGGAGGAGAGGGGGAGGAAGAGGAGGAGGAGGAGGAGGAGGAGGAGGAGGAGGAAGGAGCAGGAGGACCCCCTCCCCCTCCTGCTTGTGGCGGCGGTGGCAGACAAGCCCGCCGCCCTCGCACGACGAGCGCGGCCGCGCACCGGCGCTGAGCGCCGCCGGCGACGCGGGCGCCCGAGGCCGCGACCCGGCGGCTGCCCGCGGGCCGCGGGCGCTCCCCGGGGCAGGCCGCCGGCGGCCGCGACCGGGCGCGCCCCGGCCGCAGCTTTCGCGGCGGGTGCCAAAGGGTTAAGTCGGGCGTGGATGGTTTCGGCCCCGCCATTTTTTGGGCTATCTTTTGTCATTTTTCGCCATTTGGGGGTATGTTTTTTTGGCTATCGTTTCATTTTGGGCTATCTTTTCTGCAATGTTTGCAATTTTGGGGTATTTTTGAACATTTTTTGCCATTTTGGGGTATTTTGGGGGGCTATCTTTTTTCATTTTTCGCCCCAAGGTCCCCCGTGCAGGGGGACAGGCCCGACTGGACAGGAGCGGGGCGGGCGAGGGTGCGCTGTGGAGCCCGTTTCCTGAGGCTGCCGCGCCTGTGCCGCCGCTCTCGGGCCGGACGAGAGGGGAGGATTGGGAAAGGGATGGTTACGAAATTTGCTGCGTGCGGCTGGTTTCGGCCCCGCCGCCGGGCCCATTCCTCGATACACGGGCGCCTCCCGGCGCCGGGAGGCGCCAGGAAAATCAGCTACGTGAGCTGATTCTCAACCCCCCCCTTTGCTATCCCCCCCTTTCGCCCGACCCGACATTCTCATGCTGAGCTCAGCGCGCTAGTGTGAACAGGCCGACGCCGCATCTCGGAAGGCGGCTTGCACTAGCGGCCTCAAGCATGAGCGCTTGGTTGCAGGGTATCCTCGGCCACGCGCAGAGGAGGGATTCCTAGAAGCACTCCTGCTCCTTAGAAGCTGCGTGTCAGCATCAGGCGATCGCAAACATGGATCAATGGGGCGTGGATTAGCGATGGGTCCCGTTTCCTGGGGAACTCACGAATTTCCGCCGCCGAAGTAGGCGGCACCGGCCGCATTTTGGGGAGGACACCTCCCCAGATCCATGGACTTGACGACTGCGCGCCAAATCCATGGATCGCTCATTCATGCTTGCGCGCCCCCGACTGTGGATGTAGGGCCGGCGCCTTCTAAGAAGCGGCCTCCTTCTATGAAGCCTTCCCCCCTCCCCCTACCCCCTTGTGCGCGCCGCCAGCCCCTCCTGCAAGTGTTAAGTCTGGCCTGTCCCCCTACAGGAAGAATATTCAAAAATGGTCAAAGAATAGTCTGGGACATATGTTTTGAGTATTTTGGGGCATCGTTTGAGTACTTTTTGGGTACATTATTTTTTTCGTCCGAAATCCCCCTGTAGGGGGACAGGCCCGACCTAAGCCAAAGGCTGGGCCCACGTCGAGCTCGTGTCGCGCCGATTTGGGCGTCGGTGTCTGACACCGCGGGGATCGTTCCACCCTGAACGATCGGCCGTTTCCGAAACGTCCAAATCGTTGCGGTTCTGGGTCGCCCGCGGCGTTTTTCACGTTGAGCGCCGCAGGGTCGCCGCCGGTCGACACGACGCGGACCTACCGTATGTTGCTCCCAGCGTACTAAAGGGCCACATCCCAGAAATAAGATCGGGCACCCAGAAGAGTGTCGAAGCAGTGTCGAACGAGCATCGCGTCCCAGGGCCCGACACGTGAAAACCCTCCAGTTTCGGTACTTTCCTGGCGCTCGAAAGTCTTTCCGGCGATCAAGGCTAAAGTAGGCTGGAACATCATAAGGCTGGGCTAACGGCGATGTTGCTTGACGGTGATGTTGGAAACGAAATTGTAGGAAATTCAAGGGGCCCAAGGACACACAAATAAATACACACAAATAAAACGATTCCCGTATATTTTCACATATTTTCTGGGCTTTTGTCTTCTCCCCCACTTCCCATATTTTCCCATATTTTCCTGGGGATCGACGATTAATTGTGTCTGTGTTTTTTCCCCTCCTGAGAGATCACGAGCCACCCTTTCCTGCCTTCCCCCTCTGCGAGTGGATCGAGCGAGCATGACACGGCGAGCTGCAGAAACGCGCGAGCCCCGCGCTCCCACGGTGCCAAAACCCACGTCGCCGTGACCTACATCGCCGTCAGCCCGTCTACGGCGCCGTGACCCACATCGCCGTGACCTACATCGCCGTGACCCGTCGCCGTGACCTACATCGCCGTGACCTACATCGCCGTGACCCACGTCGCCGTGACCTACATCGCTTCGTGTCGCGTCGACCTGACGCGGAAGCCAGCACCCTCCTGCAGCCGTCCTTGGACGCGCTGCTCGGGCGCGTCGGGTCGGCCCTCCCAGCCGAGGCGGACCTAGCTGGCGACAGTGCCCAGTGTGACTGGGCTGGCGAGACGGCCTCCCCGACCTCGCCCATCGACGACACGGGTCTTAGCACCCAAATTTTTCACGCGGACCCGCTACGTGGAGGCGGTCCAAACAGAAGCGGCCGGAGTGGCCCCCAGTTGTCCAGGGACTTGGGACAGCCGTGGCGCCACCTCCAGGCTTCCAACACCGTGCAGGAGGAGCATGGTGAGGATGCACGTGCACCCGCTGAGGGCGACTCCATCCGAGGGGTAGATGGGGATCGAGCGGAAGAATTCTTGTTTCACGATGACGCTATCGCTCGGGCCTTGTACCGAGCTGAAGTCTCCGAGGCCCAGGACCTGCTCGGGCTTCCGGACGACGACTCCGAGGCCGAGGACGACGACTCCGAAGCCGACGAGGCATGCGAGGCCGCATTGGCAGAGGATGACACTCTCGCTCGGGCCCTGTCCGGTTTTCGGACCGGGACCTGCCCGAGCCCTGTTGCGATCGCTCTGGCCCGGGACTTGCTCGGGCTGTCGGACGACGACTCCGAGGCCGAGGACGACGACTCCGAAGCCGACGAGGCATACGAGGCCGCACTGGCCGAAGCAGGAGCTCCCTTCGAGCTCGACGACGACGCCTTCGCGGCAAACCTGGCTGCAGCGGAGGCCGACGAGACCAAGGAGGTCGCTGTCAAGGACGGCGGCGACGCCCCGGAGGTCCCCTTGAGAGTGGCTTGGGCCGACCTCGAGGATTCCCCGAGCGAGTACGACGAGGAGTGGGAGCAGGTGCACGCGCGCAACTGGGCGGAAGTGGCCACGTCGAGCCACCTCCCCGCCGCGCCGGAGGCCGGCCCCGCGACACCAAGCAGACGGGCCGCCAGGCCCAGAAGGAGTGCGCAGCGGCGGC